AAGGTTTGTACTGAAACAATACGATCAAGTTGCTTCACAGCGACTGTGGGCAAGGGTTTCAAATGAACGAAGTGGAATGAAGCATCGAACAGATGTTAGTTATAGCACCGTTCAGAACCATCTTATCTAAGGAACAAGGCACGCTCCAATCCCGAAACACATGTCTTTTGCAGCAGTCTTGGAAGAAAGCATGTATCGCTCAAAAAAAANTTATGTTCCCAAGGTTTGTACTGAAACAATACGATCAAGTTGCTTCACAGCGACTGTGGGCAAGGGTTTCAAATGAACGAAGTGGAATGAAGCATCGAACAGATGTTAGTTATAGCACCGTTCAGAACCATCTTATCTAAGGAACAAGGCACGTTCCAATCCCGAAACACATGTCTTTTGCAGCAGTATTGGAAGAAAGCATGTATCACTCAAAAAAAATGCTCAAAGAGTGATGGCTCGCAGTGAAAAGCCTTGAAATTCACAAGCCTGTACACTGAAAAGATGTGCCCACCCATATAAACCAGTAATTTACGCTTTCAGTTTCGAAATTCCTTGGTCACTCTTTACTCCAGTTATCGATATCGTGTACTTACAATAAACATTCGAGCTGTACAGCGATTATCTGCATGCGAAAACTGAATAAAGAAACACGGACAAGTTTTGAATCAATGAAAACAGATGATGCTTCTAGAGTAGTGGTGTGCCTCATTTCTTAGATGTGGTGTTTCTAAACGGTGCTGTAACACTAAACGTGTTCGTTGCTTCTTTCGGCTTCGTTCATGTGAGACCCTTGTTATTCATAATGACTGTAAAGTAACCATTGATCACATTGTTTTAGTATAAACCTTATGAGCATAACTTTGTTGACAATCATATATTTCACGCCAATATTCCATGGTGAGTATTACGTTCGGTCTAAGTTGGAATCGGGCTTTAGAGGGGATCCGTCCCATATCGTTATACCAAGTGCATGCTTACAATCAGTGATTTTTGACACCATACTCTCTTTACAAAAAAGCAGGTGACTTCATGATTACGACGACAGTTTTGTACCAACTTCGTAGAAGGCCTCTCCAGAACGGAAGCAACAAAATTTAGGAACGGCTTTATAAACTTTTAAAACTTAAATCAAACAAGAGAGAAGAAAAAGAAAGAAAAGAAGAAAAAAATCGCGCTTCAGCCAGTGGATCCAAATCGGTGAGTTCGTCACTTATACCATTTACCTCAATAGGTACTCGTTTTGTAAAGTAGTTTTGTTGAATACTAGAACAGCTTCGCCAAAATCCCAAAAGTACCCCGAATTCGAAAGTAGATCTAGTGCCCCCACACTTCAGACCGTCACACTGCCAGTTCCTTTATGAAATAGACGCAGCTTTGCATGCAATCGACCGATACCTCTTCTCCGACCTTGATGACATGGTTCAAAGTGAAAAAGCAAAAGCACAATTTCGCTCTGATCACAGAGAACCATCACGATAAGCATAACACCCAATAATAACAAGGTGGAAATAGTGGGACTGCTTGCAGCGTTTCCGAATTGCAGTAAAGATGTTATCTCGGGTTCCTATCTTTAGATAGTTAAGAGCCCTGGGTGGACGCCAAGAAGCAAGATCTATGGCAGACAGGGGAGACAAATGACTTCGCTATAATGCCTGCTTGAAGAATTTCTTCACGATTGAAATACTTTTACACAATTTACTTACATGGAAAAGGGACACCCCAGGCAGTTACCTCAGTCCAGTTAGCGCTGAGACTGAGCCATGATCACATCAACCCTCTATTATCGTCCAGTCAATTCACGAAGGGTATTGACTCATTTAGATTATGTGACCGTGAAAACTCAACTGAACCATTCTCCTTTCGCAAGATCTGATCCCGACCTAGAGCATACCGGATAGAAGAATAACGTCTTGGGGCTTCAATGAATCCCGTGGGAGGGATCTGCCCACGCACTCGACTTCCATTCAGCATCCTAATGGCGTAATGAATGCCTATGTGGCCTATACAGTGACTTGCGGTGGCCAGCCGATGTAAAGTCAGTGCTTTTATCCTCCCAGATGAGTCTGGTACCAATAAGCCGACCCAATAGGGATGAGAGGTTTGGCTGGCCTAAGCAGTTATTGATTGGGGATTCAAACCCGCAACCATGCGTGTGTGAATGTGCCACTTGCCACTACACCACCTCTGCTCTCATAAAGCATATAAAGCATAATAACTAAAAAATTTAACGAGTAGGAGACGTCTCATCCTACGCTAAAAATTCTACAGCGCTTTTCTTGCAATTAAACGACTACTTGATTAGGCCGAGTCAAAACCCTCAAAGCAGGGTTCGCAGTCGAAATCGAAATCAAAAGAAGGGCATCATGGTGCCGGTGCAGCAAGCAAGCATACGACATCAAAATCACATAACAAACCACCTCCTGGCACTAACAAGATGCAGAAAGCCCCACTAGAGAAGATGAAAAAGAAATTGTCAGACGATATTATGAAGAAAGTAGCAGCAAAACTGTCAGGGGAAGCGGTGAAGAAACCATCAGGGAAGCAGTCGGAGGAGAATGTGAAGAAATCATCAGGAGAAGGTTCAAAAGAGCATGCGAAAGGCAAACAACCGAAACGAAAAGAAGGAAAGAAAGTCAAGCACGGCGCGAAAAACGAGTCGAAGGGGTACGTACTTCCCTTACCTTTGAGCTAAAGAATTGGTTAAACAAAAAATTCTATAATTAGGGCAGCAAAGCAGGAAAAATTGAGCAAGGAAGGCGGGAAACCAGCAAAAAAGTAAGTTTGGTGGTTTTGCTGACAATTTCATGAAAATCACTCTCTGTTCAAAAGTCTATTGGTCTATTGGTTATGTTCCTGAGTCTACGACACTATCACATTTAACTTCGTGACTCAAAAATATTTGAGTGGCTATATATGATGAGCAATTCTGAAATTAACTGTAAATCTGGCTGCAATGCAGATGCGGCGACATAGCTGTAATGTATTG